TCACTTCTTGCCTTTGTAGTCCCCCACCCCCCATTTTGGGTAGCCAATGTCCAAGTTGCCCATCTCTGTCTACTCTGTGTGTGGAGGGGGTGGGAATGATTCTTGCTGTAGTCCATGGTACTTTTGATATTCTCCTCCAGTACCGTAACTCAAATGCATCAATTCTATGGTCTTCCTTATTCACTATCCAACATTCACATGCATATATGGCTACTGAAAATATCTTGGCTTAAGTCAGGTTCACCTTAGTCCTCAAACTGACATCTTTTCTTTTGAACATTTTAAAGAAGTCTTGTGCAATAGATTTGCCTAATGCAGTGTGGCGTTTGATTTCTTGATTGCTGCTTCCATGAATGTTGATAGTGGATCCAAACAAAATGAAGTATTTGACAACATCAATCTTTTCTCCATTTATCATGATTTTATTTATTACTCCAGTGGTGAGGATTTTTATTTTCTTTAAATTGAGGTGCAATCCTTACCCTAGTATGTGCTCTTTAATCTTCATCAGTATTTTAAGTCCTTTTCACTTTCAGCAAGCAAGGTTGCATCATCTGCATATTGCAGGTTGTTAATGAGTCTTCATCCAATCCTTATGCCACATTCTTCTTCATATAATCCAGTTTCAGATTAAATAAATTTGGTGAAAGACTAGAACCCTGGTGCACACCTTTCCTGTTGTTAAACCATTTAGTGTCCCTTGGCTCTGTTCAAACGACTGCCTCTTGGTCTATGGACGGGTTCTTTATGAGCACATTTCAGTACTCTGGAATATCTGTTCTTTGCAATGTTGTCCATAGCTTGTCATGATCCATACAGTCAAAAGCCTTTGCATAGTCAATAAAGCACAGGTAAACATCTTTCTGATATTTTATGCCTTTGGCCAAGATCCATCTGACATAAGCAATGATGCTCCTTGTTCTACGTTCTCATCTGAATCTGGCTTGAACCTCTGGCAGTTGTGTTTTTGCAGTGTTGCAGCCATTTAAAAATTATCTTCAGGAGAATTTTACTTGCATGAGATATTAATCATAGTGCCCAATGATTTCTGCATTCTGTTGGGCCACTTCTCTTTGAAATGGGCACAAATATGGATCTCTTCCAATTAATTGGGAATTTTTTGGCATAGATGAGTGAGTGCCTCCAGTGCTGTATCAGTTTGTTGGAAGATTTCAATTTGTATTCAATCAATTCCCAGAATTTGTTTTTCCCAATGTCTTCAGTGAACCTGGGATGTCTTCCTTCAGTACCATTGGCTCTTGATCACATGCTACCTCTTGAAATGGTTCATCATTGACCATTTC